TTTAGTTTGTCTTACTCACTAGACCCCATATCTTTTGTATTACCTATATAATAATCTAGGTTTTAATTGTATTTGAACCAACTAGAGCCAAAGGGTTTACGTGAACACAGACGTTGTCTTATTGCCTTTAACTATCAGCTGTTTACATGTGCCTATTTCTTTCTCCAATATTTCCCCGATTTATTAAACGTGAGCCTGTGCCGTAAACAGGAAACTAAAATACTAAAATAAAATATAGAGTTCTGTGTGGTATTCACATCTACAGCTTACATCCTATGCACAATTATTCTTTAACTTTACTATGATGCGAAATTAAAGCAGAAAAGAAAACCATTTTTCTTTACAAAAAGCGGGAATTATTGCAAGCCTCTGTGGTCGTACGTATCAGCTATTAAATCGGTTCTCAAAGTTGCTATACACTCTTGTAAAATCAATATATTTAAATGTTCAGTTTATTCTTCAACTTACACAATACATACATAAGTTATCGTAGTAACTAAAGAAGATATCTATCAACATCATTATAGAGCCGTCGATCGGCTGAACACGCAGCTCCACTCGCTTATTTCCTGAATCAATTTTCGCATTTCCCTAAAACGGGAATCCACATTCTTAACATCTTTCAAAAACAAAGCTAGACCTATTTTATCAATAGATATAAGAAATATACCTACCCATTGAACTTGATTAAAACTACGATCAAGTAAATACTCTCATTTCTTCTACAAACTGTAGAGAAAGGACCTTTCTAGCGACGCCTCAAGGAGTATTTTCTTTCAGGAAACGTTTGGTGTTGAATAAGAATCGGTAATCAATAAAAGAAATTCCAAATGGTTTTGGGTCTGCAAAGTCTTAATCAAGGTTTGTTGTAATACGGGTTTGTAGTTAATTACTTTAATATTGATTAATAATTAGCGCAAATATGGCATAAAGCCACTAATAATTTTTAAATGACTAGTAAATCGAATTTTGTACAACTATATAAGAACAACCAACGAAGTATTCTGTTTGTGGCCATGCAAAAGTTATACCACTTTAATTAGGAAATTTCGCATTTAATTCACATTAATTAACAATAGCAGTTTATATCTGTGTATATTAATCTATATAAACAAAAATAAACGGCTAAATGTGTTGCTAAGCACAAAACTCGAGAACGGCTGGACCAATTTTGATAATTTTTTTTAAATATTCCTTGAAGTCCGAGGAATATTCTTATGACGAGGAAAATTGGAAACATTGTCCAGAAAATGTAAAAACCTCACTTTTCTTTTCCCATACAAACCACAGAGTAAATTCAAAACAAAACAAAAGCGCGTTAAGATTATCTTTGGTATGTCTTCAAGTTGATTAGGCTGTATGAATATTAACTGATCATTCTGAAATACGTTTCATTTATTTATTTTTTCTATTGAACTGTGATAGGCCAATAACTTTTAACAGAACGGAATCTGTCGGGGCAGCTAGTAGTTAATACAAAACAGAAGTAGTATTGACAATAGAGTAGATAAATAAAATGCTAGCCAATGGTTAATTTAGAAATTCTACAAGACTGTTAAACGTGTATGGGGCACAGCTGTGTAAGAGTGCGAAACAACAACAGAAAAAAAATAGAAGCTTTTAAAAAGCGGATAAGGATAGAAAAATGAGACATGAGGAAGAGAGACTAGCAGAATAATAATAAGAGATCAATAGGAAAAGGAGAGATATGCTGATTACAGGCAAAAAGAGTTATTTAAATAAGTATTAGAAACAGGAACAGGAGTAAAGAGGAGCAGCTGTTAACAAATATAAGGGATGTGGGATACTCTAATATCAAGGAAATGCGATGAGAGACTGAATAGTCCAACCACGTACCGACGATCCTATGATGATTCTACAAAATTGGAAACGTTATTAATCTATTTATACATACGCATATATACATTCCCTATAAGCAAATCCGTAATCTCAACATCAGGTAAAGCTATTTCAATTAAAATTACAATTGAGTAAGAAGATTAATTGATGGAGGCTGTGGTATGTCAATAAACTCAAAGAGATTCGTCGTCTAATTACAGCTTTTTCGCACTTTCTCTGGTTTCATGCTAATAATCCCCATAATTAATGTGGGTGAACCACGTGTCCGTTTTTCGAAAGGTTACCGTGACCGTCTTTGAAATTGATACTATAATAACACAACCAGCTGACCTTTCTGTAATATGGAAAATTTTTATTTTTTAAGACTGCACGTAGGAGTAAACAGCTCAAGAATCATAGGTATCTCAGATTACGAGAGATTTAATGTTATCAAGAGGAATATTTTAGGGACAAAATTAAACGAAACTGGCATTTAAATGACCTTTTAACCTTTTCAACCCAACAGGCAAAGGAAATCGGTTTGAATAGCAACAAAAAGTTAGTACCTTTTAAATACTTTATATAAAAGAAGGTCATCTGTAGAAATTCCCTACTAATTTTGTGTTATGAATTTGTCAATGTTTAACAAGATTCTTTTTGACGATTAAGGATATCGATTTCTCAAACTGAGCGTACACAGCGTAGCAGACCACCTAACTGAACAAATATTCTTAGTCAGTGATCTGTCGAAATCATCAGACGTGAATCGCGATATCGACCTCTTTGGATCTCATCAGTACGCACGAAGCGAAAAACGACTAAATCTTTAGCAGTGTTTATCAAATAACTACGAACGGCATGGTGAAGCCTTCTTTAGAAATTTGCTACTATTATGAGTTCGTTATTATTTGAAAAAGTCCTTTGGCGATTAAGGATATGGACTAATCAAAGAGAGTTAGATAAGGGGATGAATAAGTTAAAAAAGTGTTGCTTCGTCCTGGAATTAAACATTATATTAATAAATACCCGCTTTAACACTCACAATTCATGAATGAGTTTGTTTTTCTGCGCATACATAATTTTCATTATCCTTCTTTTATGAAAATGAATAGATACCGATAAAACGTAGAAGTTTTGATGTTGAAGGATTAATGTAATAATTCTCACACGTGCATTTATTTAATCTTATTATCTGTAATGGGACCTTTAAAAGGGTATTTACTGAATGAAAATGACGAAGATATTTTATAAATTCGCCATTGCAATGAAAATTGACTTGTTCGACACCATTGACGAACCACACGTGCTACAGATTTACTTTATAACCACAGTATGTGTTAACTACTGCACATTATAAATAGCAGCAAATTATAACACACTCCTGCTTACATAATTAATGTCTCATATCGTCAGATAAAATTAAATATTCATTTGACTGAAGTAATTATAGATATGAAATACGAAAAATACGACTGACATTGATAACGCCCTTAACACTAAGTTAATCGATAAATATTTTATGTGACCTGCTTATCCAAATAAGTACGGCTATCCTGGAAATTCCTTCATTTTCTAATTTCTAAGTATAGATCATCACTTTTGAGATGGTGTTTTGTTGTGAAGAATGTCAGCTCATTCCTGGAGCGCTCTCAAATCTTGATTGTATGAACCCAGGGAACTCGTCATCGCAATTCGACCTTCTTTTGCCTCTAAATCGATAGGGTCAAGGTCTAATCGC